ATATATATATATATATATTGTAAATGTAAATAATTCTTAATCCAGTACAAACTTTGCTCATCATATTAGTTCGAAATTCTACATGTAGAAGTACGTGCACGTTCTTTTATAAACTACTCATTCTAAACTCGATTTTTAAACATATTGAAAATGTCAGAAAAATGTTATACTTTGAAATTTCAAACTACAAAAAAATGTTAATCATTAAAAAAATTAATACTTACTTAAAATATTATACCAATAAAAAGTAAAAGATGCATTTTAATTTTCTAAAATATTGGATGTAGAACATTCAACATCGTTACTCTGTTTAGAATCCTACCTATAATATTACACAATTATAAAATATTCTATAGAAATTCATAATTTTTTTTTTTTTGCCATACCATAATATTTTTTTTAGTGATATTTAAGTAGGTACTTAAGAGGACGTTATACCCGCATGTGTTGTCTCTGTCTTATAAGTGCATAAACATAGTTAATTTTACGGTCAGCAGATCACGTTTAGCTCTGTTAGTTTAAAATTTAGAGTGAGTTGACATCTTATAAAAATTAAAGGAAACATTATTATGGAAGGCTTCTCGTAGGTATTTTATTATATTTTTATTTTAAACCGAATTATGAGTACAAAGTAACAGAGCTAAACGTGATCTACTGAGCGTAAAATTTGTTATATTATGCACTTGTAACTTGTTGTCGGAGACAACACATGCGGGTGCAGCGTCCTCTTAAAAATCATTTATTTAACAAATCTTTAAACTAAGTCGATTTATTTAGATCACATATTATTATTTATTTGTAAGCAAAAATTAAATTAAACTTGGTAACCATGTTGACGTGTTGTCTTACTGAATACTGATTAAACTGTAATAATAATTACAATTATGTTTAATCACTTGGTTACGCGTAGGTATTAATGTATTATATTGTTAAACGATGAAGCTTTTTAAAAGTTGAAATTTAGGTAGGTAAAATATTATCAGTCTTACTGTAACTATAAATAAAATATTTAATATATATTTCATAACTATAATTTTAGTGRTATAGGTACACAGTAATTACCAATGTATGTGGGAGGGGGTGTGTTAAATATAAATATATATATGTTAAAACCATTTCTTTAAGTTAATTGTTGATATTAAACATTATAATTGTTTGAAAACTGTTATAAATTGTAATACAATAACAACTATTTTTGAGAGAGGATGATTGAACAAAGTCTGATAATATGTTTAAGGACATTTTAATGAATTCGTGTGCAGTAGAATCTAATAGGTATGAAATTATTGTTTTAGCTGTGTTTTAGATTATTATATCTGTAGATATATTAGTGGTAATACATTAAACGTGTTTGTTTTTGTTACCTATACGGCTATACTTCCAAACCAGTGTCTTAAATTTGTTTTGGGTATAATTTTATTTGTTTGATTTTTTCGTTTATGTGAAAGGTGATCGGCGTATTTTTCAATGTTATTACTGCCGTCCGTTTTTTTAGTCTATAACTGTCTGCATATTAAATGTATTAAACTATTACACTATTATACAAAGATAGTTATTAATATAGATTATTAATAATKGGTTTATAGTTATTACCATATTTTACCAATCCCATTATCATTTTATCGCAGATGTACCATGAGGCATGAATTAGGATAGGTACTGTCTAGGTGGACAGCATAAAATCTGTGATAGGTCATGTTGTATCATGAAATGTCTACTACAGTCTACAGTCGTTAAGTAGTWAAATCGTACCGTCTCGTAGAATACAAAAGTACAGAATATTGGAGACTTTGGAGTTTAAACAGAACAATTAATAAACCACTACTACAGCATTATAGTATTATGGTATTGCAATCTAGACCTCTATAGGGCTCTAGAAGTCTAGAATAAAATTTTGGTATTGTGACTTGGTGAGWAAATTCCAAAGATAATGTTCATAATTATCTGTTATAGTGTTATCTGACAGCTGTTTGTTGAACATTGATAAGCAAGGGGCTGAATGCCTGAATATAACAATATTTGATTACTTAATGCCTTTGTACCTATTGGTGATTATTACAAATATACAAAGTATTTAGTATTTACCAGATTCCTAAACTATACGTTAGTGTTAGAACTTGATTTTTATTATAAAGTTCGGGCTCTACCTTAAACGTAATCATCAATATTAACCAATAAAAAGTTCAAAAAMATCAATTCAAAATGATGACCCTAATAAATCGGATACTTGATTGGATTAAGAGTAAATTTTGGACTGAAGAAATGGAACTCACTCTCGTTGGGCTACAATGTTCTGGCAAAACTACGTTTGTTCACGTAATTGCAGTAAGTAACTTATGAGATTTCCTCAAACTATAACTTTTTGGTCAATTATATTTTTATTACTTGCCCATTGTATGTGGGTAATATGTTGTATCTACAGCTGTTTGATTATATTTTGAATTTAAAAATATTATTTATTTGCTTTGTTAATGGTTTATAAATAATGATAGARCAAGTTTTATGAATGTATATGAGTAATATTTTTTTTTATATATATATACAATATACTAGGTATATTAGAACATACTAGGCAAGTTGTAGAGCAATTCATCATAATATGGGAGGGGTCTATTAATATTGTTCAATATTTGTTTTCACTCTTTATGCGTATTGATTCTATTGAGTTATTTAATTCTTTTTTTGCATAAATATAATTATGCATAGTATTGATTTATTTCACCAAATAATGAAATTTAGTATAATACGATCAAGGGTGATTTTAAAAATGTATTTGATGAAACATTAAAATATGTATGTTAATGTTTTATTCTCTTGTAAAATATAAAGCATGTTATTTCATATTAAAATTCTTTGTTATTCATCAATATGATAATGGAAATGTTTAGAATTTTTACGAATAACGATTAGGAATATAAATTACCTATTTAATGACAAAGGTTCTRAGGGTCATTATAATAATTATAATAGTTGTTATTACAATTTTAAATTTTTAWATTGTATTTAAATTAACATTTTATTAAATTTTCAAAATATTGTTGTTRAAGATGACAATAATTATATAATATACMTAATAATATGCAAAATAAAAGATTGAAGTTCAAAATCTGTATTATGTATTAATTTTGTATAATTGTGTATGATACATAAAATAATTAAGACATTAGATACATAATGGTTGGTAATAAAATTTTTTTTTATTATGAATTCAAAATAATAATAGTTTATCCAGTGTTAAATCAATTAAATAACATTTTTAGTCGGGACAATTTAATCAAGATATGATACCAACAGTTGGCTTCAATATGCGAAAAGTGACAAAAAATAATGTCACTATAAAAATATGGGATATTGGTGGTCAACCACGTTTCCGATCTATGTGGGAGAGGTATTGCCGAGGAGTTAATGCAATTGTGTATGTATAAATTAAATTAAATCACATAATCATACATTTTATTTTTAATATGCAAATATTTACAGTTATATGGTGGATGCAGCCGACACTGATAAATTAGAAGCTTCAAGAAATGAACTTCACAATTTAATAGATAAACCACAATTAGCAGGTATACCTGTCTTAGTTTTGGGTAACAAGAGAGATTTGCCAAATGCTCTAGATGAAGTTGAACTGATTGACAGGATGTTAGTGAATCATTTATTTAAAGTTTTATTGTTCTATAAATATTGTTAAAAAATTTTAATTATATTTTTTTATGTTAGGAATTTAAATGCAATTCAAGATCGAGAAATATGTTGCTATTCAATATCTTGCAAAGAACAAGAAAACATTGATATTACTTTGCAATGGTTGATTAGCCATTCAAAATCTAATCGTCAATCATCAACGTAAAATTATCATTGGATAAATTTCATATCTAGCACTGAATTTGTGCTAAAATATTGAATCTTTTCTAGATTTAATTTTTTGTTTAAGGCTGATCCACCTTTTTAATTTTCTTTTACCCAATATAGATAAATTAATGCCATTTTAATCAATGCACTCCTGGTTATAATACAGCAACTAAATATAGAAATTATTATATTATTATAGAAAATTATATTTTTGGATCAAACCTCAGTTTATATGTCATACTATTTACATTAATTGATAATATGGGTCTTATTACTTTTTTCGGTATTTATAACATATTGTATAGTTTTGTTGTAAGACAACAAATTTAAACATTTTTATGTAAGTTATAATTTTATGATTCAAAATTTATACGTTTATATTATTATTGTATTATTTAAATTATTATATATATATATATATATATAATATATTATTCTATTAATCAGAAGTATATTGCTTCTAAGAATATTAATAATTTAACCAACTATTTTATACCTGAAGCTAACTATTGTTATGTGGGTTTATTTTTTTCTGTAAATATTTAATCATTTAGGCATTAAATCTATTACTGTGACATAGTATTAAAATTATTTCTGTCACCCTTAAATTAAATATCTTATTMTCATGTTTTCTTTCCAACCTTTAGTATTCAAATATTATATTGAACTTGAATTATATAACATCTAATGATTATATTGTGTCTATAATATTTATTTTACCCTTAATTTAAAAACTGTGGGGACAGTCCGTAGTTGTAATTGTTTGTTTTGAATGTAATTAGTTACAGTTATTTTTATTTTTTTTTATAAATATTATTTAAACAGTAGTCATTTAAAAACAAAGAACTGATTTTAA